ACCGTCAAACAACATCTGCCTATCCCAGGTTCTTGGGAAGGACTTGATAGGTGGATAAAAATGCCAAATCCAGTCTAAACACCTAGCTGACTGTGCAACCACCATAATAATAATCCATGGGGGGTCAAACAGTCCCAACTGCACAATCGAAGCCTCGCCCCTTTTGTAGTATGTCAGCATCACATGTATGTACGAAGGAGCAGGCTTTGATCATGTGGCTGTGGCTGACATATTTCTTTTTCTTATTCTTCCCTGCAGATGCCCCCACAGTATGAAAGAATATTTTTCAAAAAATATGTAAAAGGAAACTTGCAAACTTCCTAACTGACTTGTGCTGCTTTGAAGATATGCTATAACTTCATTGTGCACCCCGTACATGTACAAATAGTCACTGCAAATATATTCCCAGTATCTTTCATCCCAAGGAAATGAACATTGTCCTTGGGATGTCTCACAACTGAGAGTATGAAACAACATGTTCCACTGGGCAGTGCAATGCAGTTCAGTTCAGTTCAGTTCAGTTCAGTTAATCCACTATGTGCTGAATGAATAGATAAGGACAGGTTCATGTACCAGCTCCACCCAATATGCTGGGGTAGCTATGCTGATATAGACATGCAGAATCTCTGTCTGTATGGGAAGATGATTTTCTATACAGGTGGGTGATCCATGAATGCAGAGAGGGTGTTTCTGCTGGACACGACAGTAGCAGCCAGAGCATCAGTTTTCTGATTATCTTAGGTGAACCTTCAATACGTGAAAAAGATGGGGATTTGAATTCCTCAACCCAGAGGCTTTTTCCACTGCATGGTGATGTGAGAATCAAACCTGCACACATACAATATGCACATGCTATACACAAAGCCTCTTTCACCATAATCATGTTGGGAAATAGGAATATAAGGAGGAATTTATACTACCAGGGCACACCTTGATTACATAAGAAGTAAGACCCTGAATGCTTTTTAAAATCATGGTTGATACAAACCATTAAAAAATGAAGATGGCAAAACAACTGCTAAACACTGCTGCCACTGTGATAAGGAAACAACATACAAGAAGTGTAGGGCCTACGTATAAACATTTGTCATACCCACTTACTTTTGTATAACTTGACATTTTGTCCTTGCCATTGATGATTTTAGAAATGTTTTGAGCTGGCATTTCATTTTCTTAATCTAACTGATGACTCAGCACCAGAAAAACACAATAAGTATGTTTCATTTTAAACATGATTTATAAACCACATAGGGGGTTCATGCATTACACAATGAACCAGCCACTTTATGGCTTCATCCAATGTAGTTTTTCCAAATGTTGCCTAAACTGGGCCTAATACTGACATATTAGCAGGCAGATTAGCACTGAACATCTGGAAGAAGCAAAGGTTATCCCTTCAAATAATAAAGGTTATACTAGGCCTTCCATTCTGACTTTAGCTTCCAATCAAGGTAGTCATGCTGTAGCACAAATCCCAGCCCTTCTCCACATTTTAAATGTCAGTCATTTCCAAAGTAAAATATTTCCTTCCTTCAAGGAACCTTAACTGTACATATTGTGGTGTGGGTTTTGGTGATTTTCCTTTCCTTTCTAACTGCATGACAGCCTCTCTAAAACTGAAGGCAAACAAACTCCAACCTAGCATGATGTGTGAACCAGGTCATCCACCCAAGAAGACTGAAGAATGAATGAGATTGAACTGCAATTAGCCACTCTACCGTATGAAAAGGTGAGGTCTAAAAGTGAGGAAAAGCTTTCATAACCCCAGATGTCAAAGCCCCAGGACTTTCAGATTCCTGAGAGAATATAGTTCTTCCTTCGCAGCTCATGAATTTATGATGCAACATCTAGTCTGTGTGCATTCACAGGCCTAGTGGCACAAAAGAGTTTTCTTTCCATCAGCAGCCTTCATTGGGTAAACACAGGCAGGGGGTGCTTTTCATGAATTCCTGTGGAATTCCATGAGTTTCTAGGCAGTGCATGATTTCACTGGCTTGGAGGAGACCTTAGGTTGTTCTTTGACCTCCTGGTGGGTCCAGGGCAACAAGAAACATACCACCAGAGTCACCATAAAAGTCCATCCATGAATTAGGGCCTGAAGCCATATGAAGAAAGAGGCCATAAATTATTGCAAGGGCTAAGAGTGAGGCTAAAATCATATTGCCCTGTGTCTTGACCCTAGAATTCCCATCTTTGGCCCTGAAGGCTTGTTTATTTGCTCCTGAATGGCATTTCTTATGCATACACACACACACACACACACACACACACATACACACATACACTAAAAACAATTTGCTTTAATA